TCATCAATCAAGGGAATCTTTCCTTTCGAGTTCCTCAACCTAATCAGTGCCGGAATCAGCACATCCTGGTTCAACAAAGCGTTCTTGATAGTACATGCAGCAACCTTCTGGCTCTTGGGGTAAAAGATCAGTTTTCCATGCTCTCGCACCCGGGCCCTGAGGCAGTCTACGCCTTCCCAAGCTACCGCCAAACCAGCGCGCTGAAACTTCTTCACGGAAGTCGTCGGCATGTTGGATCAAGGACCCAAAGAGAGCAAAATACAGGACGCTCACAATTCAAGCCAAACAAGCCTGCCGGAAAATTTGATCTTGAAAACATGAACCATGCTGCCACCATGTCCAGGACTCAAGCCGGGGTTTCCTGCCAACAACAGGCATTGAGCGCCGGACTCCAGATATCCGTGAGCATCGCAGCCCATCATCAAAGCTTCTGGATGAGATTCTATTATGATCTATCCTGCTACGATGACATCGAAAAGTTGTCATCCTGAAAACCCATGCTGCTGATCCATGCTCCTTACAACGCGTGATCGAAAACTTCTGGGATCCAACTTCGTAATGGAACAGCCAATGAAAATCCAAGTATCATGATGCCATGCTTGCATGCCAGCCACTGTTGCAAGATTCATTGGACGTCTGCCATATCCCTGCATGAATTGCTTATCTGAGTAGGAGCAAGCCGCCAATGCAGTCCTTCCACGACCAGCCAGGGCTATCCAAACTATCATTCCCGCAATAGAAAACCCGTGTTCAGCCCTATACACCGAAAAACCTGGTTTTCAGGAAAACCGGGTTATTCTGCCCTTTTGCCAAATAACCGGGTTCCTGCGGATAAACCTACAAAATAGTAGGTTAAAGGTTTAGAGGGTAGGGATTGGATTAATCGTAGTCGTGGGGATCCCATGGTAGTCCTCCTCCAGAAAGATATTAAGAATGCATTTAACGAAGTGCTTCCTGAAATTTTTCTGGATGAATGTCGTAGGTACGCTCCGTCCTCGGCTAGGTTTGCTGAATGATCTTATGGAACTCCTTCCCATTTGATCTGCGATGGCGAGGTCGCTATCAGTTCGCGTGGTCAACAGGGATGTCCTATGATGATGTCCTTGTTTTGCCTTGCCAGCAAGAGCTTGCTTGAGGAAGTTCAGGCTAATATTGGAAGTACTATTCCCTTTGCCTCCGAATACGCAGATGACGGATTTAGTGGAGGAGCTGTCGATGAAGTTTTGAAGCTCTTTCAGGAGGAACCTAGTCTTGCTGAGGAATACGGTTTGCGGTACGACTTCAATAACTGTACTCTTTATCTTCTTGCTGGGGACGGTTTCCGTGGAGATGTTAGCGCCTTTCAAGCCCTGGCGGTTCGAGTTGACGCTACCTGCAATATTCAAATCTTTCAGGCTCCTGTTGTGGGTCCCCGGAATTCTTGGCTGAATGGTGCCAAAATAAGAAATCGGATTTTAGACGCGTATTTAAAGCCCTGGAGGACCTTGATCAAAAACACGTCGCATTTCATTTGCTTCAGGCGCGCATGGGTTGGTCCCAACTCAATTATTTGGGCAGGACCGCTCCTTGACATTTCTTGGTCCCCCTCTTGGACTGGTATGACGCTAGGTATAGAGAGGTCTTTGAGGTTTTTCTGAGGGAAAGAATCACGGATGTCCAATGGCTGCAAGCTACGCTCCCCAATATTACCGGTGGCTTAGGACTTACTACGGAAAAGATTCCCCTTGGAGATCAAGTTTTCGGAAGGGCTGCGCTGACCTGGCGAGTCTGGCAAGAGATGATTGGGTTCCAATCTGCAATGAAGGTTTCCTTCCTGCAGAATTCTATAGATTTCATCGCGAATCATGATATGAAGGACCGATTTTCTTCCAAGTATGTGACACGTAAATATATGGTATCCAAACGAATCTTGAGGTTGGGGATATCATGGGCATATCGTACCGCCTTCAAAAATTTGTCTGCCAAGTCGCATAGAAAGCATATCGTAGAATGCATATCGTAGAATACAATATTAGATAAATAAATATCAAAGACGTGATTCGGAGTAGCCCGAACCCATCCGTCCGCCCAAGGAGCGGCAAAAATTTGGAGGACCTTTTTATGGAGATCAGAAAAAAGGCCACTAATAGCCCTACGAAAGGAGAACATTACAACTTCCATCAAATCCTTTTATTTAGATCTGACGTCCGGATTCTGCAGTTCGGATTGCCAAATAGGAAATATCTGCATAAATCTCTGAATTGCAGGGGCCCAATCTATTCTCGAGTGATCCAATCGGCGAGGAATCAAGGCTTCAATCAATAGGGCCCGCGCTCGATACGTTATCACATAAGTCAAATATATTCTAATGATTCCTATAGTTCTCTGCAGATAATCTACTTGGGGGCTGATGCCGAGGATTGCGCTTGATATCTCGATTATATCGCCTTTCCGGTCGTCTAATTTGGGGCAGGGTAGTTTGTCGGCTGCTAAATCTCAGGTGCAACGTAAATATAGAGATCGTGAGACGGCCCAAAGATATCATTCTCATAATATAGGATTTGAACCATTGGGCTTTGAATATTCTGGAGACCTGGAATCGGAGAGGGATCGTCTTCTGACTTCGTTTTGTCAAATTATCGATGATAATTTGCACCGAGATATTGGAGCTAGCTATCAGATATTGAAATAAGTTATTTCCTTCGTGATTCAGAATCATAGACGTAGCTGCTTACAACGGACTAGAATCAAAAATAGAGCCCGTCCAAAATCCATGATTGTTCTATTTTCCTGCAAATATATTCTGAGGGAATATATTCATAGAAATTAATATCAGCATCCCACGCGTAAGATATGGTGATTCTGAATCTGAGGAGACGAGACCTTAAATGAATAGATGATTAGAGATAGAATATCCCATTTTTTCTCCATTTCATTTGAAGGTCCATTATTACGTTATTATTTTTCCTCCTTTCGGCGTCTTCCTTCGTATCTAATTCGTGGCGGATGGCGGCGGGTTTTAGGATTAGAAAACGGACGTCGAATCTTATGGTCCTTCTTTTTCCCTCAAACGAATAAGAAGTTATCTAATTAGATTTCTTAGAAAATCTTGAAAAGCGAGATTTCTGCCTTTTCATTTGAAGAATCATTTTATTCATGCAAAAATTTATCAATAAAAGATATATATAATAGGGTCTTATTGAAATCTAATTCCAATTCTATAAAATTTAAATAAATCTAATAAAATATTCTTTGAAATTAAAATTATATTATATATTATTTAAAATTAATAATTTTAAACATCATATCGAATTAGAGTATGCTTTAAAATCTTAATAAAGATTATTTCAAATTAGAGATTTAAAAAATATTTTTCTAAATTAAGGTATTATTAAGAATACCTAAAATCCAATTTTTATCAAATATTAATCCAAAATATAAATTCATTCCGAATTATTCTTACTTCAAATCTTTCTAGAAATTATTTTCAAACCAAATTTAATTTATAATAATCAAAAATTATAAGTAATATCGAAAAATATTGGAAAACAGAATATATTTCAATTTTAATCATTTTTCTATTAAATTTCATCGAAAGAATTCAAATACATAATTATATATTTCAATTAGCTAATCAAGAATCTATATAAATTATTTCAAATCTTCATAATAAGTATTTTTAGAAGTCTATTTTTCTTGAAATCGTATTCAAAAAATTAGGTTATAGAATTGCCTTCATATATGAGTAGAAATCAAAATTCAATTTTATCGCGCCCCCCCCCCCCCCC